GGTCGCCGCCGCATGATGCCGTCTCGTGTCGCCTAAATCGTCATTCCTTCGTTCCTTCGTTTCTTCGTTCCTTCCTTCCTTCGGGTTGCGGCGGCTTATCAAGGGAGAGCAGAGAGCAAGAGAGAATATAAGATTTAGGTTTATTGGTTGTCGGGTCAAAACCGACCCGAACCGAACCGAACTGACGTGGTTCGGTTCGATTTGTCGATTCGGTTCATTTGTTACACCCCTAATATATTAATTAAATATATCCAACTCATGAGCTTAAATTTTTAGGTTACGTGGTGATTTATTCATCATTAAGATTGTATTAGAACGGATGTAGCATTCATCATTAACATGGTATCAAAGAGGTGTCAATATGTTCAAACCCTACATTTAGGAATCACGTAGGGCACTCTACCATACCCTCAAAGTTTGTTACACGAAAGAGAGGTGAGAGGAATAGAAAAAGAGTCCCTTTTAAAAAATGTTAACAATAAATTTGATTCCTCATCGTGCGTTTTATTTTACATTTGACTTTTAAGTTTTATTTAGACTAACTTACTTTTGTAAAATTTCAAACTCTATACTATATTTAAAAATATGCACCTTCGATGAGACATGACTTTGTTTCATTACCTTTACTCATCCCGCATCCTGTGTCTCTTTTTTGGAATCTTTCAACTTATTATCCTTGCCCTTTACAAGGTGCATTGATGATTTCATAAAATAAATAAAAGTTTCTATACTTCTAAAATAAATGACGGGAACATCTTCTAGTATAATGTATTCGATTCAATTATTTAGAATTTTTAACTAGAGAGAACAATCAAACTTTTATGGATACTTTTAATTAGGTTCAACATGTAGTTTTAGGAGGATATCAAAATAGTTACTTCTTTCTGCTGGTCTAATTACGATATCTCTACATTTCTCTTAGTCGCTATGTATTTTTATATCATACGTTTGAATGATTTGGACACCGAACACACATAAGTTGGACTTGAATAAGGATATGTCATTCCTGTCACCAAACAAGTTTGTTTTATTGCATTATATATGTCCATTCATTGTTCTTGTTTTAGGAACAGACACTCAATTAGGCTGTGATCAAATGGTATTTAACCCATCGAATGGTATTTAACATCCAGAAAACTGCCAAAT